GCTTTAAGTATTTTGTGGCAAATTGAATACAATTTCTCAAATTGTATCTTATAAACGGAATTTGGGGAAAAGCTTTTTTTTTTTTTTTTTAACCAAAAGAGAATGACACTATATTATGTTGTTCTATGATTTGGCTTTTTTAACTTAAAATTTATTATGGGTATTTTTCCTGACAATACTGCTATGCTACAACACTGTATTAACCACCACATAGTACGTATAAGATAAGCCCATTGTATGGATATACTATTATTTATTTAGCTTTTTGCTGTTAATGGATATTTGGATGGTTTCCAGTATTTTTATTGAAAAAAATACTGCAGTTATTATTCTTGTACAGATGTATCTGCACCCTCAGGCAAGTATTTTTGCAACTGCTGGATCAAAGCAGTGTACCTCTTCACCTTTTGTTTTAATATCTTCGTCTTTCAAAATTTTTTTTATTTTTTATACAATTTTTAAAGTTATTACAAAATATTAGCTACATTCCCAGTGTTGTACAGTACAACCTTGAGCCTATTTTACATCCACTAGTTTGTACCTCCCATTGCCCACCACTGGTAACCACTAGTTTTTCCTCTATATCTGTGAGTCTGCTTCTTTCTAAAAAAAAAAAAAACAACAACACACGTCTTCACTTTTAAGAGCTATTTAGGCTTGTATGGTTTAAGCCTTTACTTCCGAGGCTCCCTGGGTGAACCTGATTACCCATGGGAAGCAGATGCAGGCCCTGGCTGTAGCCAGCTCCTGCCCAGTGGGATTCAGGGTGGGATTTCTTGGCGGAAGATGAGAGGGTGATGTGGAGATAGATTTCCACAGAGAACTTGGGCATTTGTTGGCAGCAGTTTATTCCCTGGACACCCAGCCACCTTGAACCTGTTTTCCAACCACCAAATGTTCCTGTTCTCTAATTCCTGCAGGCTAACTTTGACACAAACTTCGAGGACAGGAATGCGTTTGTCACAGGCATTGCAAGGTACATTGAGCAGGCTACAGTCCACTCCAGCATGGTAAGTCTCTGTGACCTTCAGGAACAGACGTGCCCCCTGCTGGTGGGGGCGGGGCTGTGGGCAGCTTCTCTCACCAGGGGCATGTGCTCAGCTGTTCCAAGAACACTGCCTCAGGTCCATCTCCTCAAGCCCATCCTCATGCCCCACCCATCCCCTCTCAGCGCCTGGAGGCACACTGTTCCTATCTTCCAGCCTTGCAAATCCTGCTCACCTTTGGGGCGGAACTCTATTCCCACTGTTCAGTTCCCTAAGCTTCTCTAGCTTTGGGGGTTAACAGTTGATTAGATCCTGCCTTGTTTTATGCTTTATAGATAGATTACAGGCTGTGTGGAATTTTGGCCCTTGACCAAAGCACAAAGTTTCTCAGAAAAGGTTTGGAGTAACACATTACTGGTGGCCTAAATCATTCACAAAGAGGGACCAGTTGTTTGATGGGTCTTTGTCTGACCCATCTGTGAGGGTACCCTTCCTTCTTGGGCTTTCATTGATTTCATTCTAATGCATCGCTGACATTTAAAGAATTCCAAATTTCTCATTCACAGGTTCTGCCCGTGGCTCAGTGGACCTTTCTCACTATATCAGCGATAGCCTAAAGCCTGTCTCACCACACCCTGCCCATTCATTCAATAAATATTGTGTACCTGGTACCTGGAGAGACCCTGCTAAATGCTGGAGAGGGGGATATGCAAGGACAGATAGGGCTGGTCTTGGTTCTCAATGAGTCAAGTAGAAATAGACAAGCTTACCATTTATTGAACATTTTATGTGCCGATATTTTAAATGCATTGTCTTAATTAATCCTCACCTCAACCCTTTGAAGAAGGTTCTATTACAATACTCATTGTACGGGTGGGGAAAACTGAGGTCCAGAAAAGTTAAGTAACTTACTCAGGGTCCTGCCACTGACAGATGGCAGAGCTAAACCCAAATCTGTTTGACTACAAAACCTGTGCTCTAGATGGCTCTTTGCAAACAAATAAAAATATACAAAGTTAAAGGTAAAAGGCATGGTGAAAGTTCAAAGTCTTTAAGGGGCCCTGAGAGGGTCAGAGAAAGCTTGATGAAGGAAGTGGGTTTTGAGTAGAGCCTTGTATACTGTACATACACACACACATTATAACCATATATTTTATATATATATATATATATATATACACATACACACATATATATAATATATGGTTATTATATATACATAATATATATGTAATATATATATATATATATATATATATACCATTTATAAATGGTACTTTAAACTATATAAGGTTTTCTTATACGTGGTATCATTGGAACCTTATAACAGCCCTGTGACTTGCAAAGAGATTATTCTCATATTAGGGATGAGAAAACTGAGACCTAGAGAAATTAATAAGCAGGTTGCTCATGATCCCACAATTAGTAAATCACAGGGTTGAACCTAGAATACAGGACTTAAGATTCCCAGCCCTGATCTCTTTCCACTGACCTCTGCTGTCCCACACAATTAGAATTGTATCTGTCAGGGATGAGATGGAGAGCATCTGACTGGTGGAAGCAGCATGAGGAAAGGCACAGAGGCAAAAGGCACAGAGACTGCCTGGGTTTAGACTGCAAAGTACATATAGGGAAATTCTTGGTGGTATTTATCAAAAATTAGATAAGGGTCAGTGCATAGAGGCTGTCTTCGTTTGATAGAGCTGCCATAACAAAATACCACAGACTGGGTGACTTAAATAACAAATTTATTTTCTCCCAGTTCTGGAGACAGAAGTCCAATATCAAGGTGTCAGCAGGGTTGCTTTCTCCTGAGGCCACTCCGTGGCTTCCAGACGGCCGCCTTCTGGCTATGTCCTCACATGGTCTTTTGTCTGTGCAGGCACACGTAAGGTGTCTCTCTGTGTGTCCAAATTCTGTCAGATTGGATGAGGGTCCTTAATGGCCTCATGTTAACTTAATCATCTCTTTAAAGGCCCTGTCTCCAAATATAGTCACATTCTGAGGTCCTGAGGTTAGGACTTCAACATATGAATTTGGCGAGGGGACACAAGTCAGCCCATAATAGAGGGCTTTAATTCATTTAATCAAAAATCAGTAGCAATGGGAATTTTTCATTGATGGGAGAAATGTGAACAGAAATACCCTTGAGGAATAAGTTGCATTTGTTAGTTTTGTGCAGAACAAGTGGTAAGGAGGCGTGAGTGAGGCGATAGTTAAAGTTATCTACACTGGAGGTGTCAAGGGCCGGATGAGGGCAATGGTGTGAGGGATGGCTAAGGGGACATGGATACAAGAGGCACTGGAGGTTGACTCCGCCTGGCTTCACAGTGTGCTGGGTGCTGGGGCCCATGGGAGTGACAACGATGCTGACTGAGGTTTCCTGGAAATGCCAGGTCAGGGACACTGATAGGGAAGTCAGAGGAAGGGCTGGTTTGGAGGCAGATTGTATTCGTTTTCTATGGCTGCTGTAACAGAAGATTATCACAGATTCGGTGACCTAAAACAACACAAAGTTATTTGCTTACTGTTTTTCTGGTCAGAAGCCAGGCATGGGATCTTACAGGGTTAAAATCAAGGTGTGGGCAGGCCTGCATTCGTTTCTGAAGGCTCTAGAGGACAATCTGTTGCCTTGTTTTTCCAGCTTCTGGAGGCTGCCCGCATTCCTTTGCTCAGCCCCCTTGCATCCAGCAGTCACACCACTCCAGTCTCTGCTTCCATCCTCACGTCTCCTGGTCTGACTCTCTCACCTCCCTCTCACTTATTAGGACCCTTGCCATTACACTGGGTCCACCAGATAACCCAGGATGACCTCCCCATCTCAAGGCTGCTAACTTAATTCCATCTACGAAGTCCCTTTTGCTGTGTAAGGTATTGTTTTTACAGGTTCTGGGGATTAGGATGCAGACATCTTTCTGGGGCCACTATTCTACCAACACAGGGATAGTGTTGATATGGTTTTAGGCAGGCCTCAGATAGGGTGTTCCGTTGATGTTCGTGGATAATGCCAAAACTTCACTTCCTCAACAATTTCCTCCTTGTACCTTTTGCTAAATCTTTCTGTAGAGTAGCTTTATCAGCAGCAAGAGGCTTCATTAGATGTTCATCTTCTTGTATTTCTCCTGCTCACATTGGGGCAAGGTGATTTTCTCAAAGGGCAGGATAGCCAGAGAAAAGAGGAGTAATTGACCACCGTGTAATTGACCACCTATGAGGAACAGTCAAGGGTTCTTTGCTGGGGGGTGAGATGGGGGCTGAGTATCCAAATAAGTGCTGAGAGGTACAGTCTGTCACTATCTGAAATTTGAACTGAACTCACATTGGGTTTAAATCGTGGACTTACAGAATCTTATCAAGGTAAAGGACCTGAGAGATCCTTAGTCCTACAGCTGTCAACCTAGGCTGCACATTGGAATCACCCGGAGAGCATTAAAAAACACTTATGCCTGGGCCCCTCCCCCAGAGATAATGATTTCGTTCCAGTGGAGCCCAGCCTGGGCATCAGGCATTTTCAAAGTTGCCCAGGTGACTAATGTGCAGCCAGGGCTGAGAACCAGTGATTTAGGCCAACTCTTTGCCTCTGAATGAGAAAACCATGACATTGTCCAGATAAAAGTTGGGTCCAAGCAGAGCTAGGACCAGAACTCAAGTTTCCTGAAGCTCCATCCAACACACCATCCTGACCTCTACATTCCAGGCATGATTATACAACAAATCTGACTGATGGTCAGCTGAACTGTCCACAAGGCAGAGTCCACATCATTCTTGTTCACTGGCCTGTTTTCAGCACATAGCACCAAGCCAGGGACCCGTGAGTGCTCAGTGAAAGGTTCACTGGTTGAGTGAATGGGAATATACCTGCCAGTGGGCAGTTTAGTGCTGATAAGTAGACACATGTTCCCTATGCATTACTGTCACTTCCCTTTTCTGACACGTGTTCTGAAGCAACGGCAGCAGGAGACCCACAGGCTTGATCTTGGTTCTCTGTGGTCTCAAGCACAACATGTTACTGATTTAAAGAGTTCTGTAAATTAAGAATTGAAAGTGTGACTCGTCAGTGACATTTGCTGTTGAAAACAAAACTTTAAAAAGTAATAAGCCCCAAATTAAATCTGATCTTGTGCTAGGAAGATATTATGAAATAGATATGATGTGTGGTATAAAAAATAAATCAGTAAAGGTTCATTTTTGTATCTATACAAACATTCACAAAAGAGATGGTCTAGTAATACTCTTTTTAGTGTTTAGTAATACTCTTTTTAGTGTTTAGTATTTTTTGAGACGTCCTTCATATAACAAAATTCACCACTTAAAGTGTATAATTCAGTGTTTTAATAGTGTTTTAATAGTAGATTAATAGTAGAGTCACAGTGTTATACAATTATCACTACTATCTAATTTCCATCACCACAAAAAGAAACCCCCAAACCTTTAGCAGGCCCTCCCAATTCTCTCCCCCAACCGCTAATCTACTTTCTGTTTCTATGGATTTGTCTATTCTGAACAGTTCATCTAAATGGATCATATAATAGGTGGCCTTTTGTGTGTGGCTTCTTTCACTTAGCATAATGTTTTCAAAGTTCGTCCATGTTGTAGCATGGATCAGTACATTCCTTTTTACAGAAGAGTACTATTCCATTGCATGGCTATACCACATTTTATTTATCCATTCACCCGTTGGGTTGTTTCTGTTTTTTTGACTATTAGAATAATGTCGCTGTGAACAAGTGTGGAAGTTTCTGTGAGCACATATGCTTTCATTTCTCTTGGATACATACCTCAGAGCAGAATTGCTGGGTTATATGGTAACCCTGTGTTTAACTTTTTGAGGAACTGCCAGACTGTCTTTTCCCTAGTAATACTCTTAACTCCCTTTACAGATTACCTAGTGTGTATGTATGTTTGTATTGTATTTAATTCTCATAAAATTCTCTGAGGTTGTTACTGTCATCATTGTTAAACAGATGACTAAATGGAGAATTTTAGGTTAAGTGCCTTCCTGAAGGCCAAAGGGCTAAGAAATGATGAAGCTGGGATTTCAGCCCAAATATTTGGACACTGAGATTAGGGCTCTTTCCAATGAAGCACTTACTAGGTGAGGTGAGTCATCAGATTTGTTTTTCATGCTGTTGTTAGTTTTGCCATCTGCTCTGTATTATTTTTAAAAATCTTAATCTTGATCTTAACCGTCTTCCTGCTTATGAAATAGTAAAGTGGGCTCTTATAAAAGAGCAGACATTATAGTACCGTGTGATGTGAAAAGTGAAAGCCCCTGTTGATCCATCCCCACAGAGAGCTTGCTATTCATAGTTGTGGTATGTATCCCACCAAAATATTTTTCCATACACAATAATATACTTTCATAATTATTACTCTGTGTTTTTTAACCTATCTGCTGTACAAACTGCTTTGCTTATTTTCTTGCTAACTGTTTATCTGGGACAACTTTTGCTGTTGGAACTAGTGGATCTGCCCCTCCTTTCTGAGGTAGCCATCTGTCTTTGAAAAATGTGTCCTGCTTGTAGAGCCCTTGAGTGTCTGATGGGGATAATTTAGGCCAGTGCTTCTCAAACTTATTGTGCACCTGGGAGTGTGAGTCCCCTGGGAATTTTATTGAAATGCAGATTCAGATTCCATAGGCCCAGGGAGGGGCCTGAGACTCTGCATTTCTAATGAGCTCCACCCCACCCCCCCACCCCACCGGGTGATGCTGACACTGCTGGTCCACAGACCACACTGAGTTGTGACGACTGGGGGTGGGGGGCTGTTGAAAAGTCTTGTGGCGCTGGAGCACTTTCTCCCTGCTGAGCATGTTCTGCTTTTCAGAATGAAATGCTGGAGGAAGGGCACGAGTATGCGGTCATGCTATACACCTGGCGCAGCTGTTCCCGGGCCATCCCCCAGGTGAGACAGTCCTGCCTCTTCAGGGGGTGCCTCCACCCTCCACCCCACCCCCGTCCAGATTACTGACCTTCTCCAGGCAGCAGGGAGTGAAGCAGGGCCTCTTACCCAAGGGGGTGTGCTGAAAACATTGAGAGCATCCCGTAAAACTGACACCAGCTTTTAAAAATTGCTCAATATTATTTTCTTTTGAAAGCAGTATGTGCTAACTGCACAACACCCAAACCACTGCAGAAAGGTAGAAAGTAAAAAGCAAGACATTCTCACCCCTCCCTCCACCACCCAAATCCCCCACCTCCCACCAAAGCATAATCACTGTGGACGCTTTGCTGCATATTCATCTGGCTCTCTTTCCTCAAACATCATGAATATTTCTGTGATTATTATTTTGTAAATTATTTTCATTTACAAAAGTGTGTAGTTTCCTATTTATAGGGTTCTGCCACTTGAAGTTTTTACACTGTATTCTTTTTTTTTTTTTTTTTTTTTT